TGGAGGCAGATGAAGTATTATTCATGTTCAAACTCTCTAAACCACCTGGGGGCGGGGAGTGGCACCTGCCAGCTGTGCCCTATCACTACTGCACACGCCTGGTCTGTCCATCACTCAGCACGGGGAACACACGGCTGCCCAGTAGCTTTCAGCCAGGGAGCATCTGTGGAGCTGGCATTGGCACCGGTGGGAACAAAGCCAGTGAGGCTGGGTGGGGAGTGAGGAAGTCAGCCTAGAGAGAAAAAAATCAGGCTGAGAGGAGGAGTGCTTTGCTACCTTAAAAACTTAACGGGCCTTTCATTTCTACAGCGGAGTACTGGGGAACTCATTGTGAGAATGCCTGAGAGCCTCTTTTAGGCCTAATGCTGCAACTCTACTTCCTGGAAAGCAGCAGGCACTAAAGGGGATGCTCCCAGCAGCTCCTCTGCCTGTCAGTTCTTCGCCTTACTCAGTATCCCCATGACAGGATGAGGCCAGACGAAGGCTCACACTCTGCTCTCAGGGACTACCAAGCAGATAAATTCCCTGCCCCCACCCTTCCCTTTAAAAAGCAAAACATTTATTTATCTATTTATTTATCCATTTATGTATTAGGGGTGGGCACCTGCCACGGTGTGTGTGTGTGGAGATCAGAGGATGGGGATGGCTTGTAGGACTCAGTTCTACCCTTCCTCCGAGTAGGTTCTAGATTCCGAACTCAGGTCACCAGGCTTGGTGGCAAATGCCTCTACTCACCGAGTCATCTTTCCACCCTCGTGACCCCGCCTTTTCTTCCAGATAAGGACTCGTTAGGCTGCCCATGATGACTAAATATGCCAACATGGGGACTAAGCCACCCTCCTGCCTCCACCTGCTGAGCGGCTAGGACTCCAGCAACGCACTACTTCCCTCAGACAAACATGTATGATCTTAGCATGGCTTTTCAATATGTCTAATATGTCTTTTCTACTCGGAGAAAAACAGGCAGGGGAAAATCTGCCAGTTCACAAGGCCAGACACTGGCTTCACTTTCAGCCTCTTAGCCATTCCCAGCAAGACTAGGCAGAAGTTCCCTCTTTTCCACTAGCAACATGTCTGCACTACCAGAAAGTTCCCAAGTACGATGCTTTCTTTATCTCCGTTGGCCTGTGAACTCCATTAGGAAACAGATTCTGTTATTTGGTTTCTATTTCCAGAGCCTGGCACAGTGCCTGGTAAACACAGCAATTCACTGAGCGTTTGGTGAGTGATTGCCTGCACACGTATGCCAGCTAAGCGGCGGTGGTGGTGGCGGTGGTGGTGGCGGGGACCTGACCTCAGTGAACACGAAGGTGGATAAGTATTTGCTTCTTTTCATGGTTTTATTAATTAGAAAGTCTTCAATCTCCCATAAACATTACTCTTTTGTGGTATTTATGACATTAAGCATCCTATCGGGGTTTTGTCTCTCCCTATACACTTCTCAACAGCTGTAAATATATTCCCATTATTCAATGAGCAAATAGACGAATGGTTACTGGTCAAACCATATTATAAATGTAGGTCTACTAAAATCTCCAAATAAAAAACACCAAAGTTTTTAAAAAGAAGTTTGTCCCCCAGGAGAAACACTGGCAGAATTCATATTGCCAAAGACAACGTTAGCATAACAACCAATATCAAGTAGCTTGAACTAGGTGTTGAGGGACATGCCTGCAACTCCAGAATTGGCAAAATGAAGACAGGATAATCAGGAATTCAACGTCATCCTTTACCTACAATGTTCAGGGCCAGCCTGGGTCACATGAGACCCTGTGTCAGAAACAACAGGCCTGGGAGATGGGTCAGTCGGTGAAATGCTTGTTATGTAAGCATGAAGACCTGATACCCAGCACCTACATAAAAAGTCAGGCCCAGCAGACTGGGGAGGCAGAGACAGGTGGATCCCCAGAGCTCGCTGGCCAGGCTGGCTAGTGGAATCAGTGAGCTCCAGGTTGGGTGAGAGGCCCTGCCTCAAAAAGCAAGGGGAGAATAACTGAGGCGAACACTTGGCGTCAATTTCAGGGTTGTGCACATATACGCCGCACACACACACACACCGCACAAATAGCTTTGAAACAAATGCAAAATAAGGAAGTAAAGAATTAGAGAAAAACCCCTTCTAGCCAAGGTGGGTTACTAATGACAGTAGCTAAAATCTATGGATAACTCACAGTAAAAATTAACCACGTCAATACAAGAGACTGCTTTAGCATCGCTGGCATGAATCAGTTCTGTGACGTCTTTGCCAGGCATACTGAGGCCAGGCCTCTAGGTGGGCAATGTGAGGAAAGAAGATTCTGTCATACGCAGTTCTATTCAGTGGCATTCGGACTGAGGAGAGACCAGCAGTAACTAGAGGGAAGCCTTGATTCAAAGGGCAGGGTTTCTCTTTGCTGCTGGCTTTCTTTATAATTAACCAATTAAGGCCATCTCCCTGTCTCCTGTGGGAGTTTTCTCTGCCAGGAAGAATGAGGTTGCAGCCCTAACCACACAGACCTATAATAAACCATCGGGGTGATGAAGGATAGCTTCAGATATACTTAGATTATTCCCAAGAGGTGGCTGAATGTGTGGTATTCTTAGCCTCAGTAGAAATAATTTCTCAGAGGAATCAAGTGTATTCTGACACTATCTTTTAAGTCGCCTTTTATAGTCTTATCGTAGGATTCTAACAAAAGCGACTGAATATTACTGGGCCTATTAAGCAACCTTGAGCCTGGACTAGATCAAACAGGGCTCCCACCAAGCACACCAATTACTTCACTAACTCTGTTATTCCGTAGCATATTATGTGGCAGTATATGAGGAGGGATGAAGAAAATGTTGTGATGTATGTGGAAGATTGTGTTAACTGAATTTAACATTAATATTTATATTACTTAGAGGTATAAAATCAAAGTGCTATTTTAGTTTTCAAATCTACTAAGGATTCTACTACTAAGGAGCACACGAGCCTGCAGAGAGAGCAGTTTGTGGGATGGGTAGACAATTTAGACATCACAGGACGCAAAGACACACTACTGGACTGTTCTTAACAGAAGAGTTGATCGCAAAGTTGTCTGCCTGCTGTTTTTAGGAATATTCCATTACCACTACAGGAAAAAAAATATTTCACCCTCCTTTCCCCTTGTTTTGAAAGAACTGGGTATTAGGCAATATTTATGTACAGAGGCATGGGAACAATAGCCATGCCGCTTCGGTTTCACAAGGGTCTTCAGATAAAGATTTAGAAATGAAAAAACCCAGCAGAAAGCAAAGGCTAAGACTTGGCTCTGTGCCAGTTGCCTTCTAATCAGAAGATGGGTCCTGACACCAGAGAGCTGGGTTAAAACAGAAAAAGGGATAGGCCATGAGAGGAGCAGGGGCTTTTGCCACAATTGGTGAACGGGTTGGATTGACACAGTCAAGGACCAGAGAAGGCCCAGGGGCAGAGAAGGAGAACACAGGAGGCCCTTAACGAGGTGTGATTTCTGGCTCTCTGTGTTTCACCCTGGGGTCTGAGGCTCTTTGTTAACCAGTCTCTTACTGTGTTCAGTCAGGAGTGTTGTGAAGATGAGGAGGCCAGTCCTGCAGGCAGGACACACGCTCTGCCCGTCAATGAAGGTTGTGACACCCCTCAGCCAAAGGAAAATTCCAGCACAGTTGGTCATACTGGCAGAAAATTTCCGTTGGATTTTTTTTCCTCTCTCTGTGTGAGGAACAAGGCTGGGGGCACAGGGGCCAGAACTGGGGAATGCTCTAACGCAGGTCAGAACGCAGGGCTTCTTAATTAGAAACAGGGATCAAGGAGGAAGCCTGTCGTGCAGCTGTAGGAAAAAAAAAATCCGACATGGAAATTCATGAGAATGGTTGGTTGCCTCTAGGGGAAAGGTTGGGTAGGGGGTGGAAGCAGGGAATGGCACAAAAGGCTCTTCCGTCTTGCCTGTAATGTTAATATTTAAGAAGAAAATTGAGTTGGGGTGTAGCTCAGTGGTAGAGCCCCTAGTCATATGCAAGGCCTAGGTTCAGTCACCAGTGCCTGGGAAAAACATGATTTTATATGTTATCTGGCTAAAACCTGATTTTCAAAACACAAGGGCTGCCTTAAAGGGTGGAGGAGTAGGGCAGTGGCAGAGCATCCACACAGCATGCCCAAGCTCCCCTCCCCGAGAAATCCACAGAGAAGGGAGAGGTGGCCAGAGGGAAAAGTGGGCAGGAAGCCATGGCCAATAGCCTATCCCTTCGTGGCTGCTGGGGTAAGGCAACCAAAAGGATTAGTGAGGAGCAAGGGCAAATGGCAAGGGTCTCCAACAAGAATTGCCTGGATTACGGAAGAGGTAATAGAATTCTGAGAGAAACTTGTGAGGAGAAAACAAGCCTAGCCCACCTTTCCTGTCAGATTGAGGCTCCTCAGCAGTTCTCACAGGAGGGAGCACATATTGTCTCCTGAAACTGGGCCTGTGACCCAGGTTGCTCCTCTTAGCGAACCTTGTCCTCCGCGGTGGAGGACACAACGTGCGGGACTCAGGGAATTCCCACGTGGAATGGGCCCCTTGTGTGGACCACCCGCAGTCTCCTGCCCTCTCAAACTTTCTACCAATGCCACACCACCACACCCCTCCCGTGACTCATCCACTTAGCTCCTGAAATAGAAAGAGCTCCGCTGTCTCCCGTTCAGGACTTCCCTCAAGGATGTCCCTGGAGAGTCCCTGGGAGGCGTGAGGTCTACCTTTCTTGCAAGGAGACCTTCTGAGTCCGTGGTCCTAAAAGACCTCCTCGCTCAGGAAGGCCACCATCCAGCTTAGAGAGAGGCCCACCGCCCTTCTGATGTCCTCAGGTTCGAGCATCTTTCTGCACCGCACCCACCACCTTGGCTCTGCCACCAGGCTCTCCAACCCTGACGTGTGTGATGTGCTCTGGGCTCCCCCGGAGGATGCCCGCCCCCCAGGATCCCCTTCCGGAGATTAGGCGGGAGGCACGGGGTGACGGGGAGCTGAAGGTGGGAGGAGCGGGGCAGTTACCTCATTGAAGCCCTCCTGCAGGACATCCAGTAAGTTCCCGCGGGTCAGGCAGGCTAGCATTGTTCCTGCCGTGGGGCTCCCCGGGTGGGGTCGCGCCGCCGCCTCCTCCTCCCTCTGCACACAAAGGCGATCAGCTCAGCTAGCTCCCTGGGATCTCTCCCGAGTCCCGCATGCCACTTACTGGAAACCGAGACCCGAGCCAAACTAGCGGCTTGCACTGGGCATGCTCGCGCGCGGGCCGCAGCCGGAGGGGCCGGGCGCCCTGCTGGTTCCTATAGAAACAGCCGGGCGCGCACGGCAGGCACGGAGAGGTAAGAGGCGCTGGCGGCCAGCTCCGGGCTGCCCGGGAGTGCGGGGAAGCCGAGGGCGCGCGCACACGCTCCTTCGGACTGGCGCGCGCGCAGCGAGCACTCACACACGCGTGCACACAGACTCACACGCGCTGACACAGTGGGCTTGAAGCGTGAGCTTACAATCACTACACTGCAGTTTTGGAGGCGGGCGTCCCCGCGCGTGCGTAAGCACACGCGCTCGCACGCGACCTCACACACACACACACACACACACACACACACACACACACGTACTCTGCTCACTTAAGGCTGAAAGCACCTCACCACAAGGTGGGTGTGAAAAGGAGTGAGTCACAGGATTCCCCCACCCAGTTCTTCAGACTAACAGCGACCTTTTTCCACAGAGGACTGGAGAGTGAGGCAGCCAAAGGAAAAGGAAGTAGGAGGACAAGAAACAAAACAAAAAAAGAGGAGTGTGTGTGTGTGTGTCTTTAAGTATTAGGATAAGCAAACAAACAGTGTTAAACAAATCATAACATCACAGCAGGAACATCAAAGATAATTCAAGGATGACCAAGGCTTTACCACCTGCTACTCTCTTCAAAATCACTGCTCTGCGGGGAGGTGGGCAAGGTGGCTCCGGGGATAAGGCTCTGGCAGAAGCTTGACACCTGAGTTCAATCCAGGCACCATGCTAAAGGTGGAAAAGGAGAACTCACTCCTCTCACACGCACCAGTATACACACATCATTCTCTCTCACACTAATTAATTGATTTTAAAAATAAAATAACTGCTGAGAGCCAGCATGGCGGTGTACACCTGTGATCCTTTACTGGAAGCTGGAAGCAGGAGGATCAGGAGCTATCCTTGGCTACATAGCCAGTTTCTGGTCACCCTAAGCTATGTGGAGTCCTTTCAATATAAAAACAATTATATACATACACTATATATTTGTGTTTTACACACATGCATGCACATGTACAAACACACATATAAGCCAGACCTGGCACTCTAGAGGCAGAGGCAGGTAGATCAATGAGCCCAAGGCCAGCCTGGACTACATAGCAAGTGTTTTTAAGAACACCGGTCATTTGCGTGTTCTCAGAGTAAACTTTGAAAAAAAAGAAAGAAAGTCAAAAGAATGTCCACATTACATTCCATCTTGTGATCCTAGACAGACGTCCAAGGCCACAGCTGGTCAGGGACACACTACTCAATAATCAAGGAATCACAAATCACTTTCTAGCCATCCTGGATGCTCCCCTCAAACCCCATTAGGGCCTCAGGGGAAAAAGTCACTAATGGGCCAGCCTATTGAGTCTTGGTTAACCTAAGAACCTCCTCCCTGTCACTAGAGAAAAAGAAAGCCTTACTGGGGGGCCGACTGACTGGATAGCTAAGGCTGCTAAAAACCAAAGTCTCCTGGAGAAATTGCGAGCCTCTGACCACAAGGAGCAGGAAGCCAAGTGCCAACCTGCATCGAGCCAGTTGCTCTGCTGGTTAAATCCTGCAGGTTCCACCCTGGCTGAAGCTGGGGGAAGCTGTAATACCCAGTCAGACTGACCCTGAGCGGCCTGTCCTATGTCAACAGACCTCTCTGTCCTTCACACTTAGCTGTGGAGTGTCCTTGCCAAGACTCCTCACCACTCCCTCAGTTCCTGGCATGAACCTATGCTTAAGGCAGTGGAGCCCTCTATAAACAGAAGCACAAAGCTTCCCATTGCATAGAACTGCCTGTAGCACATCTACATACCTAATGACGCCAAACCAAAGCGGTCAGTTGAGGAGTCAGCAGGCATCAGACTGGTCTGCAAATGGTCATTCATGCCAAGAGATCAGTCTTTGATGAGAGCCATACCTGGGAGCTCAATGCTCTGGAGGGGAAGGCTTACTAAGCAACTTATTTATCATTTTACTCTTTTAAGGGAGGGCCTCAGGTAACCCTGGCTGGTCTCCAGCTGCCTAATTAGTCAAAGATGACCTTGAATTCCTAATTCTACTGTTTCCGCCTCCTAAGTGCTAGGATTACAGGCCAGTGCTATTACACCTAGCTATAACAGACTTTTTTTTTTGAATGTGTATCTGTGTGTCTGTGTGAGATTGAGCAATGTGTGTGAAGGTCTCCATTGAGATCAGACACCAGAAGAGAGTGTTGCGTTCCTTGTAGCTATAGTTAGAGGAGATAGTGAGCAACCAATGTGGGTGCTGGGACTCAAACTCAGGTCCTCTGGAAGAACAGTGAGCGCTCTTAACCACTGGACCATCTCTCCAGTCCCCGTACTGGATTTTAAATCTCCAAAAGTAACGATTTAATTTGGCCCAAGTATTTATTTCATATAAGAAAAAACCCACACCAGGAGACAGCCGCTCAATAAACCAACAAAGGGACTGAGATCTAAACAAAGGCCTTTGAGGTCTGGGCCTATGCCTTGTGTAATAGCCCTTGATGGCATGCTGGAGAAATTAAGATAAAATCATGGTGACTTATTTTATGGCATATGGCAAAAATTTTACAATTCCCAAAAACCTAGAGAAATAGTGTCTATTAGAACTTTCTAAGATGGAAATATTCTGTATTCTATATGTTGTCCAAAATAGCAGCTACTAGCTATATGTGGCTATTGAATGCTTGAAATATAGCTAAGGCAATTAGGCAGCTAGAATTCTGATGCTATTTAATTTTAATTCATTTAAATATAGATGAAACCATTTCAAAATATTTTGTTCACTGTTCTACAGAGTACCGAGATGTCTCCTCAAACAAGATTAGATCAAATACAGCATGTCTCTCATGATTAGTAAAAGCACAAAATTCCTGTTGGGCCATACGATTTAAAATTGCTCAGAAGATATGCTTATCGTGTTTGGTAAAGAACTGTGTCTAGCTCTAAGGAACATGAATATATTCTATTGCAGCTTTCCTACCCCATGCTGTTGCGATATCAGTAGAAGAGCTGGGACACTAAGTGGGTCAGATGGAAGCGGGTTAGGGGGAATGACTGGGGCAATAATCAATACAATGTAATGCCTACATATGGGAAAACGGCCAAGCACTGGGCGCTGCAACCCCTCCCACTGCTGCAGGCCTGCGAGAAAGCAAGGGCCTGCACACTGCTCTCCACAGGCTCCCGCTTCTGCTTGACTCTGCTTCTGTTTGACCTCCTCAGTCCTGCACTGTCTTAGCAACAATGGCAGGTACTTCTACAAACTAAAAGTCACTCAAATATCTACTGGAACAGCAAAACTGATTTAATTTTACCATGTTCCAAGTCCTATAGGAAGTATCAACATGCATACATTTGATGGTCACAATTACAATGAACGGTTTGCCATTTACACCTGAAGAGAGACTGTAGGATACATATTTTGCTCCTGACCTAACTGTTGAGTGGGGAAGCCAAAGCCTGGGTCCCGAAGCTTCATAAATTATGAGCACTAGGAACTGAGTCTATGGCTACACACGCCAGGCAAGCACTCTGGCATGGAGCCACAGCTCAGAACTTTCATATGACACTTGCCACAGGAAGGCACTGCTAACCTAATGTTCTTAGATGGATGAATGAAACAGTGAAAGAAACATGCGTTCATGCAAATGTATTCAAACCATCTATTAATAAATATAATAACATGTTTGCATAATTAAAGCTCTAAGCCTTAAACAAAGCTGTCATCTGGTGAAAACACTGCCTGTGACTCCTTTCTGTGTAAAACCAAAATGTGTGAGGTTCACACCTATGAAAAACTTAACACATCCACTACAGACTGTCATTCATGATGAAAAGATGCAGAGAGGCAATTTAAATAAACCAGTAATTAAAACTATCAATGAAATAATCAATGACTCTCTGAAATAATTTCTTTTTTATAAATAATTATTATGTACTCAGTGTCTGTCTGCATGTATGCCTGCAGGCCAGAAGAGGGCACCAGATCTCATTATAGATGGTCGTGAGCCACCATGTGGTTGCTGGGAATTGAACTCAGGACCTCTGAAAGAACTGTCAGTGTTCTTAACCGCTGAGCCATCTCTCCAGCCCTGAAATAAGTTCTTAATCTTCCTTCTGTTTTCTCTTATCAGTTGAGTTCTTTAAGGGCCACGTGCTTACAACGTCTGCATTTACATCCAGAGACAGCAGCACAGACACACACAGAAAGACTTGTGCCCAACAAGTTGACCGACATGTCCTGGCTTCATAACTGTGCGTGTGTGTATGCACGTATGTATGCATGCACATAGTATGTATGTATGCATTACAGTGCTGGGGGTTGAACCTAGGGCCTCATGCATGCTGGGTAAGTACTCTCTCACTGTATACCACATGCCTAAACTGCTCTTTTGTCTCTAGAGTCTTCCATTTGCCTGTCTATATTCGTCTTAATCATTCTCAGACAATAGATTCAGAATCTTGCTCCCCCAGTGCCCATTGTCTTTACGCTTACTTTCGTAGCACAGCAAATAGAAATTCTTTGTGCCCGGCTCTGAAGACCTCCCCTGGGATCACCTCTATTCAGGCTAGAAGGCGTCGAGATTTCTCAGGCTCCTGTTCACTTCTGAGCTTTCACACTGACTCTGCTTGAGCGTCCCACACCCTATTCCCCAGCATGCCTCCTTCAAGCTTTGCTTTCTCCACAAACTGCTCTGACCACACTTTTGTTTCTGGTTTTTCCCTTCCTTTTATTCTTTTAAATGTGGAGAATTAGCAGGGCTCTATGCATGCTAAGTGAGCGCTCTTCCACTGCGCTCTGTGCGTCTTCTAACCACTCTTGATTTTAATCTGTTTACTCACCTCCAGAGACCCATGGCTCATTCCTGCCCAAATGTTCATGAAGACCTTGGTCCTTCTCTTACTACCCTATTTTAAATAACAATACTCCCTCATACCCACACTCCTATGTGTCTCTGCCTGATTGATTTTTATTTTTCCTAATAGCCTTTATCATTACCTTGGATAGTCTGTGCTTATTTGATCTTTTCTGTGTGGGGAGTTGGTCAGTACATATGTATGTATGTAGGTACATGTGTGTGTGTGTGTGTGTGTGTGTGTGTGTGTATGCAATTAGAGGACAGAGGCCAGGTAACATCCACCTTGGGTTCTTTTGTTTTGGCTTGGTTTGGTTTGGTTTTGGTTTTCTAGAACTTGTTTTGTAGACTAGGCTGGCTTCCAACTTACAGAG